CTGGCTCGTTCCCCTTGGCTTGCTCAGCCAGATTGCTCCCATAACAGTAGGCAATTAAGAAAACCGCTTCCCAGACATACCCACAGGCTAATCTGATGGATGCAACTCCCAATGGAAACTCTCTCAGATAAGTCTGGGCTCTGTCCGGCTGACAGGTAAAGCTAACTAGGAGGCTAGGCCTATCCCAGCACCCAGGAAGACTGACGCAACCAATCAAGGCTCTGCCTCAAAACAAACAAGCAAAATAAATAAACAAACAATGCCCCCACCCCCACCAACCCAGAAACAGAAATAGAAAGCATCAATAGGACTAACCACAGATACATGGGGGAGGGAGGGGCGGAAATAGAGCTGAGTTTCTCGTGAGATACAGAGCCTGCTGAAGGCTTGGAGCCCAGAGGGGCTTCCTCTGTGCTGAGGCCACAGAAGCATTGACCGTACTGGTCCCACTCAAGATGGAGGGACAGTGGTGTCACAGTCTCATTCTGTCTCCCCTTTTCTGGTCTGTGCATCTGGAACCGTCTGTGTCCTCCCTGGGTTTGGGAACTCTAGCTGGGAAATACTGCCAGCAGCACTGTGCCAATGTGCCTGGTACTGTGATCATGCCGCACACAAGGGTTTTAGCGCTGCAGAAGACAACCCAGGGCAGCAAGAACGGTGTTTCTGGTCTGGGTTTGGTGGTGCGCGTCTGTAACCCCAGCATTTGGGAGTTAAGGCTAGCCTGGGTTACGTAGCAAGACCTTGCCTCAAAACAAAAGGAAAACAGCCAATCTGGCAGTTGGTTAGTTATGCCTCAGCACTTCTGAGCTGGGTCTGAATCTGCACTGAAGCGGGTTCCTGAACTTTCCTATCCTACACTTCCCTTCTCCACAAGATGGAAACTGAGTAAGACTGCTCTGCAGAGCAGCTGGGGAGGTTAGCCCGCCCTGCTGTACTGCTGAGAACCCACAGCCCCAGACACTTAGGGAGCTGAAGCAAGAGTGTTGGTTGAGCCCAGAATACACAGCAGCTCAAACCACAGCAAGACCCCATTTCAGGGGCTGGTGAGGGAAGGGAATAGATGTTAATACTCAACATTTAGAAACGATTATCAGAAGCCCAGCATTAGTGGCACATGCTTTTCATCCCAGCACTGGGGAGGCAGAGACAGGCGGATCTCTGTGAGTTCGAGACCAGCCTGGTCTATAGAGTGAGATCCAGGACACACCTGTTAAGCAGCACTGTCAAGACTGAGGCAAGAAGACTGGGGATTCAAGGCTGATGTGGGTTACATAGTGAAACCCGGGGGGAAGGGAGGG